GATTGACGTGCCACATGGCACATTGAGGAAGAACTTCAGACATTGTAATCGGACTATTGATTGATGAGGTGTTGAGGAGGAGGAGGGACCCGAAGTAGAAGTGGGCTGTTGTCTTCTTCTCTCTCCTTTGTCTATTCCCCCTCTCTCCTCCTTCGTCTGTGTATGATTCTCACCTCATTCTATCATCACACACATTGTGATTGTTTGTCATTCATCAGCAGATCGATAATCATATGGACTGGTAATGTTGACGAGTATCATCACGTCTGGGCTCATTGCAATAAACTAGAGCGGGACCACTGGATCTGGTCTAGACCATCAGGATGTCATTTCAGACATCCTGATCTGACTGAATCTGTCTGCCGAGTGTTGGGATGATGCCTGGTCTTGGGCCTGTAATAACCATGGAATAAATGGGAATCGTGGGATTGGATAAATGAATGCTTTCGAGGAACATTTCCCCATTGGGCTTGTCCAGACACTAGCTTGCTAGTGGAAAAGGAACTGGAATGATGGTTCCCAGAATGGAAAGGAATCGTAGTTATAGGAAACCCCAGTTGGACCTGTAAAAACAAAAATTGGAGATGTCAAACGGGCAATTACTGTATTCTACAGAGATTCGTGCAGGTCTGGGAGCGCACGCGCCACCGGTTAGCGCAGCAAGGAGCGCTATTGTGCCAACGCCAAGCCATCGCCGCCAAGCCATAGCCATGCCACGCCTGCGCAAGTGCCGTGGGAGGGTGCTGACCATACCTCGTTAAGGAGCCAGTGGGAGGAACCCCACAAGACCGCTATCGAACCGTGCTGTCAAGAGCCCACTTCGCAATTGTCGTTGATGACACGCTTCCCATTATGGGAAAGATGCGTCCGGCCCTAGTGAGCGTAGTCACTATCCAGCCGTCGGTCCAGCAGATTCGTCGCATCGACTTTTGTTGATTCCACCGTAGATTCCACTTTCCCATTACGGGAAAGACACGCCTGGCTCCATCGAGCCCCCAACGGAAGCTTCGGATCATCAGAATTCCGTAGGAGATCTCTGAAGTTGGTCTGGGGTTGTACAAAAAGCTTTCAACGATTCACTTCTCCACAATTCAAGACAGGTTCATTGACAGCTCCGTTTCCAATTAGGGAAAAGGTGCAAGGAAAAGCCCTGAGGGCCTTCGACACCCTAGTGGCAGGGTTTTGTCGGGACGTGGTGTTTTTTTTGGGATTCCACACGACCTGCAGTGTAGCGGACCCACCAGGTGTGGTGCTCCGCTAGTGACAGAGATGGAGATGGAGGAAGAAGGGGGGGAGCGAGATGGCACAACGCAGCTCCCCACGCAAGACTCCAACGCATGTACTCCAAAATGTGCAAGTGAAGAATGAGAGTGAAAACAAACAATGGCTGGGGTATACCCCAGTGGACTGACGGGACTGGACTGGCCTACCCCAAATACAACACAGGCCTGTGAGAACAGGCCAAGGGGCTGGTCTCACAGGCCAACCCGAGGTCCGCTACACGATCCTCGGCCTGTGATGGATCGCCTAGATACAAACATGCTTCCGCCAAGAAGCGGAACTCTACCAAAGAAAAGAAAACCTGAGTAGTCTAGGATGCAGAGCAAGCTCCATGCTGAGTCCATGCGATGCAACCTAGGATATAAAATGTCACAAAACAGCAAT